TCTAAACATGTGTTTAGCACTAGGCACATCAATATTTTCTTCTCCTTGCAGGAGTGAGTCAATGCAGCTATGCATGCCCCAGGCTATGAAACCAAAGCTCAGTGCCCTGCCATCACTGGACTAACTGAAAGATCCCAGTCCTTCAAAGGTGAGTGTGAACAATGATGAAATGACCAGAGGTACTCTTCAACAGTGAGATAACCTTTACACAGAAATATTTACTTCCCCAGAATGATGTCTAGGTAATCACATTGTAATCTTATTTAATTAGGTGGTCATTTTACAAACAGAAATGAATACCAATATCATGTTGTATGTAATTCTGGCAGAAAAGAGAGTATCAGTTATTCATTGAGGCATAAGGAATGGCAAATTAAGGATAGTCTAATTCAAATTAAGTGTACCCATTAATGGATATATTTGGTTATTTTCCTTTAAACATTTTAGCAATTGATTTCTTATACTACAGTATAGTCTTTAAAAATTTTATTAGTTTATTTTTTTACATTCCAATCCCAGTTCCCCCTCCCTCTTCTCCCATTTCCCCCACTCCCCCTTACCTCCCATCTGCTCTTTGGAGAGGGTAAGGCCTCCCCTAGGCAGTCTGCTAAGTCTGTCCCATCATCTCTTTGAGGCAGAACCAAGGTACCCCTCCACCCGCCACACTCCTGTGTCTAGGCTGAGCAAGGTATCTCCATATAGAATGGGCTCCACTAAGTCAGTTTGTACATCAGGTGTTAGATCTTGGAGTCACTACCAGTGGCCTCATATATTGTCCCAGCTGCACCATTGTCACCTATATAAAAGGAGTCCAGTTTGGTCTTAATGCAGGTTCCTCATTTGTCAGACCTGAGTCAGTGATCTCTCACTAGCTTGGGTCAGCTGATTCTATGGGTTTCCCCTTCATTGTTTTGTCTCCTTTGTTCATATTATCTCTCCTCCCTCACTTCAATTGTTGTAGTTGTGGATTTCTGCCTCTGCTTCCATCTATTCCTGGAAGAGGGTTCTAGCTTCTCAGGGGTTATGGATTGTAGGCTGGGTATCTTTTGCTTCATATCTGGTATTCACTTATGAGTGAGTACATACTATATTTGTCTTTCTTATTATGCATTATCTCACTCAGGATGGTTTATTCCAGTTCTGTCCATTTCCTGCAAGTTTTAGTATGTCATTGTTTCTTACTGCTAAGTAGTAAGTACTCCATTGTGTAAATATACCACATTTTCTTTATCCATTCTTCAGTTGAGGGGCATCGAGGTTGCTTCCAAGATCTGGCCATTATGATAATGTTGCTCTGAACATAGTTGAGCAAATGTTCTTGTGGAGTGAATGTTCTTCCTTTGGGTATATGCCCAATAGTGGTACTGCGGGGTCTTGAGGTAGGTTGATCCCTAATTTCTTTTTTTTTCCCTTGGGACAGGGTTTCTCTCTGGCTTGGAGGCTGTCCTGAAACTAGCTCTTGTAGACGAGGCTGGCCTCAAACTCACAGATATCCTCCTGCCTCTGCCTCCTGAGTGCTGGGACTAAAGGCATGCTCCACCACTACCTGACTTGATTCCTAATTCCTGATAAATCACCATACGGTTTCCACAGAGGCTGTACAAGTTTGCACTCCCACCAGCAATGGAAGAGTGTTCCCCTTTTTCCATATTGTCTCCAGCATAAGCTGTCATTGGTGTTTTTGATCTTAGCCATTCTGATGAGTGTAAGATGGAATCTCAGAGTTGTTTTGATATGCATTTCCCTGATGACTTAAGTATCTTTGCATCTTTTGAGATTGTTCTGCTGAGAATTCTCTGTTTAGGTCTGTATTGGATTATTTGGTTGCTTGGCGTCTAGTTCTTGAACTCTTTCTTTGCATATTTTGGAGATCAGGCTTCTGTCAGATGTGGGGTTGATGAAGATCTTTTCCCATTCTGTAGGGAGGTTGGTGAAGACCTTCCCCATTCTTGTTGACTCTTTTTTCTTTACAGAAGCTTCTCAATTTCAAGAGGTCCCATTTATTAATTGTTGTTCTCGGTTCCTGTGCTATTGGTGTTCTATTTAGGAAGTAGTCTCCTGTGCCTGTGTGTTCAAATGTATTTCCCACTTTCTCTTCTATGAGGTTCAGTGTGGATGAATTTATATTGAGGTCTTTGATCCATTTGGACTTGAGTTTTTTTGTGCATGGTGGTAGACATGGATCTATTGGCATTCTTCTACATGTTGAAGATAGTTATACCAGCATCATTTGTTGAATATGTTTTCTTTTTTCCATTTTATATTTTTAGATTTGTCTTGTCAAAAATTAGGTGTTCATAGGTGTGTTATTAATAGGTGTGTCATAGGTTATTAATATCAGGGTCTTCAATTTGATTCCATTGATCTACTTGTCTGTTTTTATGCCAATATGAAGCTGGTTTTATTTTTTTACTATAACTCTATAATAGAGCTTAAAGTCAGGGATGGTAATGATGCCAGATGATCCTTTATTTTATCTGTATAATCTATAGTTTTAAAATACACAAGATAGAGTGCACACAAGCCGGGCGTTGGTGGCGCACGCCTTTAATCCCAGCATTCGGGAAGCAGAGGCAGGCGGATCTCTGTGAGTTCGAGGCCAGCCTGGCCTACAGAGCGAGTTCCAGGACAGCCTCCAAAGCCACAGAGAAACCCTGTCTCGAAAAACCAAAAAAAAAAAAAAAGATAGAGTGCTCACTAGTAATTCCAACTCTAAAAACATAGAGAAGTGAGGACTGCCATTGAGTTTGAGGACATCCTTGCCAGTCAAGGATAAATTGCAAAACCTTGTTTAAAAGGGACTGAAAAAGAAAAATCATAAAGTAACTAAACAAAGCCACGCATCATGAGCAATGAAATAGAACAAAATTGAGACAGAGTCTGAATCCCTCTTGTAGATCTAAAAGTCAACTGTAAGCTCCCAGGGAATGAGTATCAAGAACCAGAGGTTAAAGGAGCACAATTACTACCACGGATACACTTCTAAAGTGTATTTAGCTCTTCCTGTAGTATAAATATGATTGATTACATGGAAATCATAACACCATTATGAAAACCATCACTGCCCACATCTAAGAAATGACTTTTTATTAAGACCCATGAGAAGTGTTTGCTGTCACTGCGATACACACATCTTCTTTTTGCCACATTTAATAAAAGTCTCCTGCCAGAAGTAGGATGAGGCTCCCTTCTTGACATCATCTACAAATCATAAAACTTTTCATCATGCTATTCTGTTATTGTGGAAATCCTTGACTTTGATGTGTCTGAGCCACATTTAATCCCTAGTCTTATCCTGTTTTTAAAATCCAAGAAGATTCCAGGACTTCTCTTACCTGAGAAATGTAAATTGTGATTTCAACTAAAATGTTGACTCTTCCCACAGGACAAGTTTTCTTTTGAGAAAAAAAAAAAAAAACTCCGTCCCTTGCAGGACAAACTTATTTAATGTCATGAGAAGATCCAGCTTCAGACCTCACCATCAAGATCTATCTGTAGATTTTCTTGGATGCTATACTGCTTTCTGGAGATCACAGAGTTGCATCTCAGGGAAATATTACTGGGCGTTGGTAGTGAGGGACTCTTTGGACTGGGCTGTGGGAGTCTGTATAGATTCCTCACTTAGGAACAGAAACCTATGTGTTGGATGTATGGTTGCACTTCTTGTGTGTGTGAATGAGGGTAATCATTCCAATCTCACCACATGGCCATTTATCCATCTCTATATAGAGAAGCCAGTGAGCCAGGTTGGTGCTCTCCTTGATTGTGACGATGGATGTTTAAGTTTCCTGGATGTTGCCAGGAGTTCCCTAATATACAAGTTTCCTCCTGGAACCATCAGTTTCCCTGCCCAACCTTTCTTCTGCACTGACAATATAATATGAAGGTATAGTATAGCATTTTAGTATTTTAAGCATTTCCTGCTGTAATGTTACATCCTTTATTGCTGTTAAATATTAAAATACTATTAAATGAAGAGTATGGTTGACTTGTTGCTTTTCATCTGTCCTCTACATATTCCACAAGGAGCACTTTCTTTCTTAGTGGTTTTTGTTTTTTGAGACAGGGTTTCTCTGTATTGCTTTGGAGGCTGTCCTGGAACTCACTCTGTAGACCAGGCTGGCCTCGAACTCACAGAGATCCGCCTGTGTTTGCCTTCCAAGTGCTCTGGCTCTTAGTGGTTTTATCTTGTTTTGTTTGTTCAAACTTGTCAGAGTTACTCATTAGGACAAAGGCTAAAGCCCTTAGTTCACTGCAAGAGTCCTTTTTAATTAAGCATGCTGAGGACCCTCAGTTGAATTATAGCACTATAAAAATAGCATATAGCTGTCTATGTGTGTGTATACATATATTCATCCATGGATACATCCAGCTGTATAACATTTTTCTATCTTATTGGTGCCAGTCAGGAATACAGATGTCCTGGCTATTTTTATTTCATCTTGATGCATGCTACAGCCATCTGAGGAAGGGAACCCTCTTTGAAAAAAAAAAATACCTCTATAATGCTCTGGCCAGCAGGGCACAATGAAGGTCGAGCCTACAGGAACCTGGAATGAAAGGGACAAGAGACACAAAGAATGGACAGCAAGCAGGCTCTCTGATCAAGCTGCAATTTTTTACTTTCTCACAAGGATTTTTATAGTGGTTTGTGGGAACAATAGACCTTGGCCAGAGACCCACTTCCCCATCAGCCTGGGAGCAGGCAGCTGTGAGACAATGTTTACTGAAAACATGTTTACTGAAAACAATCCAGTGCCCTAAGAAATGTTTACCGGAGCTATACATTCCTGATAAGGGCTTGCTCACTGAAACACCCTGACTTTCCAATGGCTAGCCACCTCTTCCTGCCCCCTGCTGCTACTGCCGAATCTAGTGTCAGGGATATAACCACCAGCCAGGAGGAGGAAGTGTATATGTGTGTGTGTGTGTGTGTGTGTGTGTGTGTGTGTGTATGTGTGTGTGAGAAGCTTTTCTGGAGGGAAGCGTTTCTTGGGAAGTTCTCTTGAGCCTTCTTGGGGAGCATAAAGTTTTCTTAACACAACCGACTGGTCTCTTTGTCATCGATCCCGACACCCTCACCACATTCTCGGATACAGGCTGCGCGATGGCAGTGGTTGAAGCAGGAAACTTGGGAGAGGGGAGAAGGGAGGGTAGGTGGGAGAGGTTGAAGCAGGGAGCTTGGTCTTGGCAGGATGTGTTCCAAGGACACAAGTCTGTGGCAAGGGGAGTCTGGACTGCAGGCCAGGTGGCAGAGGAGTGGGAGACCCTGGATTGCAGGCCTTGAAAGTATGCTGTACAGGAAGATAAGCAGACACATAGACTTAGAAACTTAATTGTGTTAGTCTCTAAGAATACAGTAGGAATGTGAAGATGGCTTTTATTAAGCTAGCCTTATTTAGTACCTTCTACAGATGACAATATTTACAAGAGGTCCTATATACCAATGATCGCTCCTGGCATCTCCTTCCTATTCATATCAATACTGACAGTCGTCGATTGAAGGGGAGAGCAGAGGCCTAACCCCCAGAAATCATGAGGTACTTTTATTGGGCACCATTATTCACTTGACTTGGTGGCATAGCATCCAATAGGATCAGCAGAGGCCTAACCCCCAGAAATCATGAGGTACTTTTATTGGGCACCATTATTCACTTGACTTGGTGGCATAGCATCCAATAGGATCAGCAGAGGCCTAACCCCCAGAAATCATGAGGTACTTTTATTGGGCACCATTATTCACTTGACTTGGTGGCATAGCATCCAATAGGATCCACAGATGGACTCTTCACATAGATTCATCTTGTAGTAAAAATGTGCACTGTGGGAAGAGACAACATTCTTTATTATTATTTTATGTATCTTTTATTTCTATTTTTAACTTAATCATAGTTTACATACCAATCCCAGTTCCTTCCCCCTTGTCCTTCCACTCCCCCCACTATCTCCCCATCTCACCCTCCTGTCCACACCCAGAGAGGGTGAGGCCACCCATTGGGAATCATCAAAGTCTGTCACATTATTTGGGGCAGGACCAAGGTCCTCCCCCTGTATGTAGGCTGAGCAAAGTATCCCTCCAAAGGGAATAGGCTCCAAAACACCCAGTTCACACACTAGGGATGAACACTGGTTCCTCTGCCAGCAGCCCCATAAATTGCACAAGCCCCTCCCCCCACTGTCACCCACATTCAAGAGTCCTAGTTCTGTCTTATACTGATTCCCAGCTGTCAATCTGGAGTCAGTGAGGTCCCACTAGCTCAGGTCAGCTGTTTCTGTGGGTTTCCCCAACATTGTCTTGACCCCTTTGCTCATATTTTCTTTCCTCCCTCTCTAAAACTGGTCTCCAGGAGTTCAGCCCAGTGCTTAGCTGTGAATCTCTGCTTCTGCTTCCATCAGTTATGGGAGGAAGGCTCTAGGATGACAGTTAATGTAGTCATCAATCTGATTATAGGGAAGGGTAGTTAAAGTAGCCTCTCCACTGTTGCTTAGATTTAGTTGGGTTCAACCTTGTGGACTCCTGGGAGTTTCCCTAGTGCCAGGTTTCTCGTTAACCTCATAATGGCTCCCTCTGTCATGGTACCTCTTTCCTGGCTCTCCCTCTCTATCCTTTCCCCAAGTGACCTTCCTGAACTTTCCATTCTCTGTTGGGGGAGAGGGAAGAGTAATAGGAGACTGGGGAGGGGAGAAGAGGAGGGGAAAGAGAGTCAACTTTATAATTAAAATGCCATTTACATTTCTCAGGTGAGACAAGTCCTAGAGTCTTCTTGGATTTTCAAACAGGATAAGACTAGGGGTTAACTGTGGCTTAGATACATCTAGTCAAGGATTTCCACAAGAAACAGAGTGGTAGCATGATGGAAGCGTTTCTCAAACTTTGTAGATGCTGTAAAGGAGGGAGCCTCAGCTCTAGTGACTTTTAATCTCACCTGGCAAAGGGAAGATGTGTGTATTACAGTGAGGGCAAACACTGTTCTCATGGGTCTACGTAAAAAATGATTCCTAAGATGTGAGTGAGGAGTCATCGCTTTCACACTGGTGTGATTTCCATGTAATTAATCCTATTTATACTATAGGAAGAGCTAAATATGCTTTAGAAGTGTGTCCCTGGTGGTAATTGTCCTCCTTTAACCTCTGGTTCCTGATACTCTTTCCCTGGGAGGTTGCAGTTGACATTTAGATCTAGGACAGGGTCTCATGTCTTATCAATTTGTTTTATTTTTTTCATTGCTCATGTCACATGGCTTTGTCTGTTTAGTGATTTTATGATTTTTCTTTTTCATTTTTTTTAAAGATACAGTCTTGTTATTTATCCCTGACTAGTATGGAACTCACTATGTTGACCAGAATGTTCTCAAACTCATTGGCAGTCTTCCTTTATGCTTATTATGTTGGAATTGCAAGTGTGTACCACTATATATTGTTTTTTTATTAATCTAAGAGTGTAATAAATTATAAGAACATAGCTGCTAAAACATTTTGGGGAAAGTAATGAAATATTTCTATTACTGAGTACACTTAATTGGAATTAGACAGTCCTTAATTTGTCATTCCTTATGTCCCCACAGAAACATGATATTCATGCTTGTTTGTATCTAAAGTTACCATGCGATTAAATAAGATTACAATGTGACTTACTTAGACATGTGTCTGGGGAGTTAAAACATTTGTTTTTGCAAAGGTTATCTCACTGTTGAAGAGTACCTCTGGTAATTTCATCATTGTTCATACTCACCTTGTTAGTAGTTGCACCATTCTGCCACTTCAGTGATGGGTAGGGCGCTGAGTTCTGGTTTTGTAGTCTGGGGCATGCTCAACTGCACTGACACACTCCTGCAAGAGATGACATTGATCTTCCTATTGCTAAAGACATCTTCACAGTGATTAGGAAAAACCTCATTCCAGGTTCAGCAAAATGGCTCAGGGATGAATCCCTTTCTACATAAGCCTGACAACTTGAGTTTAATCCTTGGAACCCATGGTGAAGGAGACTGTCTCCTGAAAGTTGTTCCCACCTACAATTTCTCACACACAATTACCACAAATCAAATTAAAAAGAAACAAACATTTATCTGAACATGTTTCAGAGTACATGTTTTCTGTTATCATAGTGAGCCCCCATGATCAGGAGACACTATAATTTCCTCCTTGATGCTCATTCTGAAGCCCTTCCTGCTACCAACCTGTTTCTTAGTGTTTCCTGCCCCTGTCTTTTGCTACCAGGAATATACAGCCAATGGCCCTCGGGGGTTATGTTTTTAAAACTGGAAAGTTTAGCATCAGGCTTCATTATATACACTTCTTCACTATTATGTAAAAATAAAGGCACTTTCTTGTTAAGGAGAAGAGAAATCATATCCATGAAAAATAATCTCAAACATATCATATACGAACATCAGAATATTTTCTGTATAAAGTATATCTGCACTTCGCTAAGGCAGCTTTGTCAATTTTATACCATATTTCAGGATATCATGTCTTCCTGATATATGTACATACATATATTTAAACATTTTAAAGATTTATTCCTTTATTACACATATAGAGTTCTGTCTGCATGTCTGCCTGAAGACCAGAAGAGGGTACTAGATCTCATTACAAACGGTTGTGAACCACCATGTGGCTGCTGGGAATTGAACCCAGGACCTCTGGAAGAGCAGTCAGTGCTCTTAACTGCTGAGCCATCTCTCCAGCTCTGGGATATCATGCCTTGCACTGATGAATAAACTCACCTTTGGAATATGTCATGCAAATTCTGCAAAGAAAATAAGAAAAACTTAGATTTCTGAAGGAATGACCTAAAATATCTGTCTATACATTTCATATGAATGTCACTTTCCATCACACCTATCCACCCTGAAAATATATATTTATGTCTCAGGATAATGCCAAGGAGACAGATTAACAAGAATTCAAATTCTTGATGAAATCAGACCATGAAAGTAAAATTTGAGAAGGACATGGGTAATGATTGTATATTGCTTTAGAACCCCCACCTCTTTGCAAGAGTGACATTCCCTGAGATTGTCCTCAAAGCACAGGGATAGGATACTTTCACTAAGGGCACTTCAAAAGTATGACCTCGCCCCTGCATAGTGCCTGATGCTTGTAAATTCAGAATTGTCAGGTTAGAGGGGTATGGGACCTGAGGATTATTGTCAGTTGGAGGCTACCATGCACCACAGAATAGAACTCTGGCCCAAAATCCCAAACTCCTAACGAACTCTCAAAAACACAGATTTCAGACAGAAGAAATTAAGGAACAGCTTTCTTTCAAATTGTGCTCAATATCCATTAGAGGTAATGGAGTGCTGGAGACAGCAACCACTGAATTCCCAGTTACAGAGAAAACTACAAAAGCATAAATTAGACATATTCCTTGAGAAATTATAAATTCAGAAAGCTTGGTCTTTCAAGATTACTCCTGATAAGGAAACCCCCTATTATGAAAGCAGGGAATACTGAAAGCAATCTCAGTACAACAATCACCAGGTGGATCCTGACAATAAAGTATCTCCTGCACTCCTCCATGCTCACCTACAGCTGTCCCAAGGATGGTTTCGGGACACTGCCATCAGCTCTGGGCATTTCTCTTAGTTGATTGGTCTTTTGGACCATCATGGCTTCACTTCCCTGAGTCTCTCTACAACACACTGACTTTCATGCATCATAAACGCAATGTGCTGCTCGTCCTCTTCCCAGGGAACTGTGTGCCATGACCTATACTCTGTCCTGATCATTTTTTTCCGAAATCAAGTAGTTCTGAATAAAAAGGGACATTCTCAGTCACACTGACAATGTATTTTATCCTTCTCATCGCACACTTCTATGCCTAAATTTGACAAATGACTTCTGTCACTGTCATACATTGACTGTGATTTAATCTCCTCACTTTTCAGAATATGTAAATTCTTTGGTTTCATTATTTTCTTCTTTATTGATGACACAGGCTATCAAACCCTGAGCATTTTCACCTATATAAGAGACCCAGAGGTGCCTGAAGAAAAGGTATTGATTGACAATTCATGTGTTTACTCAAATGTGAACCTCTGCAGGTAGTCATCGGAATTCATGGTGCAGTCGTAGAATCTAATCCAGTGTGCTGAACTGTAAGTAATTCACTCATTAGTCTCAGACTCCTCTGCCACACAGACAGATCATTCTTTCCACATGCAGAATTATATGTTACACTTAGAATGAGAAGCCAGCAAAAAAATGTTTCCTAGTATCACACCTAATGCCTTATGTTTAACTCTTGAATGACAAACTTTGAAAAATATCTGCCTCATCCAGATTTTAAGCATGAATCTCCTACTAACTCTGCACTGAATTATCATACTATCCTCTGCTTCTAGATTATCCTGATTTTCTTGGATCTTCTCCTATAGAGATGCTATTTGTTTTAGAAGTATCTCCTGTAAGAAACAATGAATATCAACTCTTGATTAATAGACACACTATTGAGCCACAAATGCAATTACTTTAATGAAAGTAGAATGATCAATTTTCTTTCTTTTCTTTTTTCTTTTTTTGGTTTTACGAGACAGGGTTTCTCTGTTTTGGAGGCTGTCGGTCCAGCCTGGCCTCGAACTCACAGAGATCCGCCTGCCTCTGCCTCCCGAGTGCTGGGATTAAAGGCGTGTGCCACCAACGCCCGGCTCTCAATTTTCTTTTTTTACTTTTGGTAACTATAAAATTTGGATTATAGAACATAGAACCATAAAACACAGCATACCCATTTGTTTAGGTAAAGTGATTAATAATTATGACTAATGTCTGGGTAATTTGCATAATATTGGGATTCCCAGATGCTTCTCTCTAGCTGACTACAATGTATTTTTCTAATTTAGTCTCCAGCCACAGACACTTTCAAAACATATGAATGTAGTTATTTCCTTTTCCAGTAACCTGGGGATAATGTATCACAAAGTAGAAATGATTTTTACACCGTAAGTCTCCCAAAGGATGTTTCTATTCACAGTCACCCTTTCTTCATTAGCTGTTAATAAAGTGCCAGTATCCCCAAAACAGCGGCTTCCTCATAATCAGGACAAGCATCTTGCTGTGGTCTGCTAAGCCTCCCTCTTCAGCTTTCACATTCTCTCTCAAGTATCACTTACCATTTAGTCCTCAGGAGCTGCTCCAATGGGACTGTGTGAACACTGTGCTCATGGGAGACAGAGCAGCGTTCACAGAGGTAGATCCTGTTCTCCACAAGAAGATCTGGTTGATCTTCTTGTGGGTTTTCTTGTGGGTTACACACTCATGCTCTTGGAGCTCAGGGTCTCCAAGAGCCTGGCTTGTATGGCAAGGCAATGGACACCCAACTTCTTCAGAAAAGTGTTGGTTCTGAGGTCTTCTTCCTGCCATGGTGTCCTACACATAGGGCAATGGGCAGGTACTTGGATGTCTTTCTAGGACAGGTTGAGGCAGGCCCGGCAGAAGCTGTGGCCACAGCTTATGGTGCCTGGGTCTATGAGGCAGCCCAAGCAGAAGAAGCAGGTCAGTTTCTTCTGGAAGGCTTGGGAGATGCCTACCTTCCATTTTCAAAGGAAGAAAAGCAGAATTGCAAGCAAGAGACGCACAAATTTGATTCAAACTGTGATACAGTCCTGTGTATGGCAAGGCAGGCTTCATTTTCCTATGATCAAAAAAAAAAGATCGAGATAAGTATAGGATTGCAGTTGCTGATATTTCCTGTTTCACTATAGACAGAAACATGTGTTGTTCTGAAGACATTGTGTGCCCTACCATTAGCATCTTTTTGGAGACCCCATCCAAATTAGTACTTTGACCAAGGACTGTATACTCTGGAGTGTTCAAACTCATTCATGTCCACACATTGGCTTTTCACTACAGACATTTGTAGGTTAAACAGCTCCTTCTTTTGTTGTCTATCCAAGAAAACGCTCTCTACTTCTAGTAAATGTTTTGCTTTGATTTCTGATTTTACCATCTTACTTGTTCACATCCCACATTCTCACCCCTTGACACATGAAGGCAGTATTTATTATTTGTCCTCTTTCTGCTGCAAATACCTAACAAGAAAAATAATTTATATTGACTCATAATTCAAGGGTATTTCCATTGTGGTGGGGAAGAAATTTTGGCAGGACCTTGGGATATCTGGTATCATGGCATCCAAAATCAGGAAGCAGAAAGCAAGGAATACTTACTGCTCAGCGTTTTTCCTTTTTTTCCAAGGTTAAAACTTCAATACATGGAATAGTGAAATCATCTCCTAAGCATTTAGTGTGGATCTTTCCAACTTTAGGGAACCTACCCCAAATAATCCTTCACAGTCATACCCAGGGCTTTCCATGTCTATCCTAAACCTGTAGAGTTTAATACCAGGGAGCACTCTGTGGAAACTTGTTTGCTTACTAATGATACAATTCATGGCTTACCTTTATGGGATGAATCCTTGTTCCTTGTAGAGCTAATTCTAATTGGTTTTAATAATAAAATCCCTGAGTCAGATAAAGGGTTAATGCTGGAAGATCAGAGAAGCAGAGCAGCCAGCCAATACTTCTTACCTCTACTGTATACCCAGACAAAAGGGGCGATCCTCAGACTAAATGCTCTGAGTTCCATCCCTCTTGCCTTATATTCCTCTCTCCACCCAGCCATTTGAGTCCTGTCTCCACCTGTCGAGTTCTGGGATTAAAGGAGTGTGATCACTAGTGCTGGGATCAAAGGCATGAATATTATTTCTTTTTTAGACTTATTTAGTCTCCTGTAGCCCAGGGCAGCCTTGAACTCACAGAGATCTGTCTACCTCTATCTCCTGAGTGCTAGGATTAAAAGTGTTTGCCAGCATTTTCTGGGCTTTAAGACTAACTAGTGTGGCTATCTCTACAAGTCTGATATTCAGACGAGCATTATCTGCTACAGCAAAAAAATATATCATCACCAATCCTAGAGGCATAAATAAGGTTCTCATGATGATTTGAGACTGGATATCTATTCCCTTTCTCCTTGAGTATCTACACAGATAAAAAAATCTTGATTTGATTGATGCAAATATGTTCCAAATACCTTAAGCTGCAGAGTCTGAGGCAAATGGAGTCAACGGTTTTAGCTTGGAATCATGTGTACCTCAAAACCAGTATTAATTCTCATTGTCAAGATTACTTTAGAAAAGGGATTATCATCCCAATGCTGCCTTTCTTACTTACAGGATTGTCCTCCTTTGATACTTTTTCTCTGCATGAGATACATCATTCCAAAATAATTTACAGGCACACAGAAATAGCCAAAATTGATCACAGAAATGAAAATTATGCCAGAATTTAACCATATCTACTTTCATGTACATAATAGTATGGTTAGTTTTCTCTAACTTAGTCCCATGTAGACCTCCAACCTCATATATCAATCAGTAGCAAGCATAGCCACTTCTTCCAAGATGGTAAGCTACTATCAAGCAGTATTTCATACTTAGTTTCATACTGTGTATCTTCCTATACTTTACAACAGAGAAATACGAAGAAAAACTAAATCTTGAATTTTTGCTTTTATACATATTCATATAAAATATCCCTAGATTCTTGTAATTTTTAATCCATTCAAGGCATTTAATTTTATATATTATATGTGTACACTTAATTTAGAGGTAGTGATCCCTTTTGTTGCTCTGAATTAAATAGAAAAATGCTCTAACAATATTTTAAGAATTTAAACATGATCAAATTTGAAAAGTAGCAGGTAAATACCTCTGAGCATAGTATACCAGGGCAATGAAAGGGTGAATATGGATGATCAAAAATTATCTGTAGCTGTAACTCACATTACATTTTCAAAAGGATGACCAAATGGGATCACAATCCTTTTAGATGAATAGCAAAATGTCACTTCTAAAAAGAAACCTCCATTTGGTAATGAGCTGAAAGTTCCTGTAAAGTGTGCACTCGCCCAAGGAATTGTCTCTGGCCTCAGCAGTGTTTAACAGGGAAACAACAACATCAGCTCAGCTCTGGGATCCAATCCTCAATGTCTGGAGGTGGTTGATCTAGCAGTCTACCCGCCTGACCTTATGGAAACACTCTGTCTGGTCTAGAGAAGAATGAACCAGGCTGGCCTCTGGAGTGCCCTTTTGTAGTCTCTAAAGATCATGCCCACTTGCTCCAATGCTGCTTTTACTAATGCTCCCAATAGGGGAGCTCCCGTAAATAGCAGTCTTCTAAATGTGCAGAAGATTGAATTAACTCTGTGGCCAATCTCCACAAGCAAATCTCCCCACAAGGTTTCCTAAGTTACTGCTTAGCTGGGTGTGATCACTCATACCTTTAATCCTACAGCCTAGGAACTGGTCTGCTGAAGCTTGGGGAGTTTTAGTGCAAGGCCAGCCTAGGATATACATAATACCTTGTTAAAGAAAGGGCTAGTACTTTTCCTACAATATTTTATTGTATATAGATATTTTGCACTGTGCTTATATCCTCTTCTTGATAATTTAACAAACAACAATGTTGACAATCTTTAATTTTAGCAAATATTAATGAAACCTACCACAGACCCAGCAACTCCACTCTTAGGCATATATCCAAAAGATGCCCATTCATACAACAACGATGTCTGTTCCACTATGTTCATAGCAGCATTATTTGTAATAGCCAGAACTTGGAAGCAACCTAGATGTCCCTCAACCGAAGAGTGGATAGAGAAAATGTGGTACATTTACACAATGGAGTACTATTCAGCAGAAAAACCAATGGAATCCTGAGATTCACAGGCAAATGGATGACACTAGAAGAAACCATCCTGAGTGAGGTAACCCAGTCACAAAAAGAGAAACATGGCATGTACTCTCTCATATATGGATTTTAGACATAGATCTGGGGAGTGCCAGCCTACAATGCCATGGCCAGAGAGTCTGGGAAACAGAAACTTCATTTAGTGGCTGATCGAAGAAGAGGCAGACTCCCTAGGTTAAGCACTGAGCTGAACTCAAGAAAGCCAGTAACAGAGAGGGAGGACTGATGACCAAAGGGATTAAGACTGGGCTGGTTTAACCCCCAGAAACAGCTGACCAGACAAAGGTTAACTCTTGAATCCCAGGCATCAGCCTGGGAATCCAGCATGGGACTGATCAAGACCCCCCTGAATGTGAGTGTCAGTGAGGAGGCCTAGGGAATCTATTGAGCCTTGGGCAGCAGATCAGTACCCATCCGGAGTATACACACGGACTTTGGACTCCCATCCAACAATGTGAGGTGCACTCTCACCCTGAACTCTTGGGGAAGGGTCTAGGCCCTGCCTTATATGAAATGACAGACTATGGACACCCCATGGAGGGCCTCACCCTCCCTGGGGAAATGAGGGGATAATGGGGGGACTGGGGGGAGGGCACAGGAGGAGGGGAGGGAAAGGGAGAGGGACCGGGAACTGACTTGTGAAGCAACCTTGCTTCTTATCTAAATTTAAACTGAAAAATAAATAAAAAAATAAAATTCTTAATAGCTCTTTGACATTTTGTAGAACATGTTTTGATCATATTCACCTCACCTTCAACTCCTTCCATACCAATCCTCTTTCCCTACACACTCACCTTTCAGCTCTTAAAAAAAAATCCATTCCATGTATATCATTCTGTTTCAGTTCCAATAGTGTATAGTGACATTAGAGATCAAGAACTCTTCCATCTGCAGCTGTCTATTGTTCAAATCACACAGCCAGAGAACTGGGTGGTAATTTGGATGTGAAGCAGTTCAGAACCTGCAACATTTTCATCCAAAGACTGGATTATCTCTGTGTAGCCTTGGCTTTCCTGGGACTAGTTCTGTAGATCAGGCTAGCCTGGAACTCACAGAGATCCACCTGCCTCTGACTCTGAAGTGCTGGGAGTAAAGTGTGCCCCACCACCAGGCAAAACCTGCAGTATCTGACAGGGACAGTTGATTGCTTTGCACCTGGATGCCTCCTTTTATCCTATCTTTTGAGCATGTTGTTAGTTGAAGTAACATTACATCATTTTCTCCTTCTAGTCTTTTTTTTTTTACACATCCTTTTTCTAGGCTGAATCAGAAGGTATGTCCAAGATTTAAGGTGGATCCTCACACATCAAAAGATCAGGATTTAGTGGGTCTGTTCACTTCAAATTATTCAATCAAGAAAATATACTCAAGAAAAATCATAGCTTCCTGGGTTAATTCCACCTATAGCCAAATTGACAGCCAAGAATAATCACAACAAGGGCTGATCTGTGCATATTATGTGTTAATTACCCAGGTAAGAAGGATTTAACCTCAGCACAATCATTTCCTCTACTTACAATCCATATCAACTGTTGGATATTTATAAAAAAATATGTTAGGACACCTTCCTGGTGAAAAAGCTAAAAATATTGAAATGGTTATAGCCCCTAGGTTTACATTCAAGAGAGTCTGTCTCCCTATTTGGTTTGGATACAATTGATTGAGTACCTATTGGAATATCTTAGATATTGATTCTCATTTAATTGGTTGTGACAAGCTCCCAGAGACAATACAAAATTTGGCTTTATTCTACATGATCTAAGGTGGTCATATGCTGGAATTGAAAGAAGTAAACTAAACTCAAAGACTTCACTTCTAATAATTCACACTAGGGAGAAATTGTATAAATGTGGCAAAGCCGTAAGTTCCCATTCAATTCTTATTATTTATACTAGAGAGAAATTATATAAATGTAAAGGTTATGGAAAAGTCTTGAATACAAATCCAGTCCCATAGCCTCTAGTTCTTGTGTTGTGAACAAAACTCTAGGACAACCTTCCTCTTAGACTTAGTAAGTACCTGGATACTGTGTTTGATAAAAAAACCACCTCCAAGAGACAGAGAAACCACAGAATGCTCCCTCCCAGCACCAACCAGTGAAACAGGCTACCTGAAAGTAACAGACAAAGCCATAGAAACCACTAATGCTCCCATCTGTAGCCAAAAATACAATAAAAAATACTAACAAACCAGTTGCCCTGACTCTGAGAAATTCCCCTAGTTGTTCCCCAAATGTCAACCAATCAGAATCTTACCTATACCTAACTGATGTAATTCTGTGATTTTTTTTCCTTTAAATTCTGGCAATAGACAAGGTATTTGGCTCCCTCTGGAGGCTACTGCTTCAGCCTGCTAGATGAAGTCTCTGCCAACAGGATTAAACAATAAAGCATGTGTTTGCTGTTTGGTGAGTGTGTCTCCTTGTTAGTCTCTGGGGGTCGTCGAGACTTGGGCACAACAAAATGAAATTAGAGGCCCTGAGGAACTCAGTCTTATCTACAGGTAATATAGATGGGAGAAAGTATTTGGGATTTGCTGTGTAGTGTCAGGAAGGAAGTAGTGTAATATCCTTTCACAGTTTCAAAGTTCTTCCCCAGTTTCAGTGTTGCAAATTTCCATGTCCATTCCCTTATTCCATGTTCCACTTTCAAAACACTGGGCAACTATGAGTGTTGGTGTGATTAGTAACATTCCTTCCACAGTTGATGGGTTTAGAATCTTGAGGAGACACACTTCAGGGCATGTCTGTGAAAGTGGACTGAAGATCTTCTGTCATTGAGGGCAGCACCATGCCATGGGCTGGTGTAGAGCACTGAGTTAAAAGGGGTAAAACTATGACATCAAATGAGCACAAGCATTCATCTTTCACTGATCCTAACTACAGATGAAAAGTGACCTGCTGGTGCACCCACCCATGACCATGATGGATTATGTCTCTGCAACTGAGCAAAACCCACCTCAGTTGCTTTTGTAAGGACAAGATCCAAAGTAACCAATAAGTTGGTGTAGTTTTAAATTTCTTGTCACTTACTCTTCTCAGATGGCTTACACTGGCATGTGAAAACTGGACAGGAAATAATAGCCAAGTCTTCATTTTACAGATCAAAGTCAAGGAGGTAATTATGTTTAATGGACATCCATGCTGCATCTATGGAAATAACCAAGTCCACCCAGTGAACTCTTTCTTACACCAAGACACACCCTTTGGAAATTGGTATGTGAAAACTTACCTGAAATGGGAATGTGGCCAAAGACTAGAAGGCATATCCTTCCTGTATTATACTCACAGTCCAGGCCAAAGGTGTGGCCTTTGATTATCTAACTGGTTAGTTTGAATTAGCAGTTGCAGACTAATTGAACTTAGTCTTTACCTAGCATAGTCGTGTCCAGGAATACTTAAACTAATTTATATCTCATAGAACACCAATGATTTATAGGTTGTTGGACATATTCCATTTCCAATTTTGCAAATTTGTCCTAACATTTAACTCTCTATTTGTTTATGATCAACCCAGTACCAGTGCTATTCAATGTGGACATGACATATTGCTGGTTATATTGTGAAAAGTAAAAAATACATCAGATAATATCTTTTATATATTAATTTTATATATACACTGATGGGATATGCCATTCTATAAATCTGTCTCTTATTGGTTGTTGAATAAAGCACTGTTGGCCAATAGGGAAGCAAGACAGGTGGGACTAGGAGTCGAGGAGGACTCTGGGAAAGAGAAACACAGGGAGCCACGATGTAGCCGCCATAGGGGTAAGAAGTTTGGACCCTTTCTCTAGTAAGAGAAATATGTAGATTAACAATTATGAGTAAATACTTAAGTCAGAGATAGCCAGTAAGAAACCAAGCAAACTGCTTCATAATTAATATAGCCTCCCGTGTGTTTATTTGGGACTGATGCGGCTCTGGAACCAGGCTGGCGGGAAGGCTTTACCCAACAATACACAAATGTTCTCTTGCATATTTTGAAAGTTGCACACACTTTTTGTAAGCTTGCTGAGACAAGGACTTGGCATGTAGTCTGAATTTATCTTAAAATCTCCTACCTCACCCCCCAGATTGCAAGGATTACAGGCATGTGACACCATACCTCCCAGGAAGTATATGTTATCAATTTTGTGCACCTTGCTGTGCCCAGTCCAAACTACCTATAGGATGAGTCTTGATGGGGAAAAGATATAAACCAGCATGTGGCATCACCAGAAGGAGATAGCAGGCCCAAATGATAAGTAAGCAAATAAAAGGTAGTCCATGCTGGTCTGAACCATATACCTTAAATCTCCTTGTTGGAAACCACAACTGTGACAGAGTTTAAGTTACATTCAGGTATACAGTCATCAAATTATTTTAATCTTAAGGGTTGTGATCATTCCCCTAAGGTTGGAATTCTTGGCCTAAACTCATAAAGGGTATGCGTGTAATCTCAACATTGGAGACGTTGATTTAGGAGGTTTGAGAGTTAGAGACCAGATTATGCCGGGTTGCAGACCATCTTGAGCTACGTAGTTTGATCCTGCATAAAAAAATTAATGAAACAACAAAACCCAACACAGAACACACACATACACACACATACTCACACACACACACAGAGACACACACATACACAAAACAAATATCATGTGCAACCTATTTCTATGTTGCGATGTTCTCTAGCTAAAACACAAATATTTTGGGAAGTAGGAACACATAAAGTCTTATTTATCATGTAATTGTTGCTATAAACAAATTACGAGTCTTATAGTTAAGGTTTCTATTGTTTTGATGAAACACCATGACCAAAAGGGTTCATTTTGCTCCAGTTCTAGTTCATCATCAAAAGAGTGAGGGCAGGAACTCAAACAGGGTAAGAATCTGGAAGCAAGAGGTGATTCAGAGGCCATGGAGGGGTGCTGCTTATTGTCTTGGCTTGCTGCTTCTTCTTTCTTATAGAACCCAGAACCATCTGTGAAGGAGGCACCACCCATGATAGGCTTGGTTCTCCTCTATCAATCACTATGAAAATGTCCTACATCTTGACCTTGTGGAAGTATTCTCTCAGTTGAAGTTCCTACCTTTCAAGTAGCTCTAGCTTGTGTGACAAGTTGACAAAATGAATCAACACATCTAGGCTTTTCTTCCAGCATGTTTGGGACGACAGAGAGAAAGAGCTGGCAAGCACTGCCTTGCTGGGTTTGGGATTCTAAAGAGGATGAGAAAAGAGTAAAGCAGGAGTCCTGGATCTTACCAGCGGTCTTAAAGGTGATGAAGCTGTTTTCCTGGAATACATGTTGTAGAAAAAGTAGGTTCTGGGGTCACGGGGTCATTCTAATAATTGGTTAATACTTATCAGCCTCCAGCTATTGATGGTCACCATTTATACAAGATACTTCAAGCCTATAAACAGAGGAGAAACAAAGTGTTATTTCAGTAGAGATGAGACTCTGCAGTGGTTTAATAGCCCTGCCTAGGCTGCCCAACCATCATAGTCTGAGAACATCTATTTCACGAGGACTCTGCTATGTGCATGGTCCCCTTGGCCTGGGATGCATTTTTCCAAAATGTGGCCCCATCTCCTGTGTGTCTCTGTTCCTCTATCAATGCCTGAAGTAACTCATATCTGAAGAAGCCCCTGGCAAGGCAGAGTTATGGTTTCTGAACTGGATGCCATTACAGACCTTTGGGACCTTACTATCTCAAAGTGCAAAGAGTTCTTGGACAATTGCTCTTCTCTCTCTAGCAAGTTTCCTCTCCCCTGTAAAAGGTGTTACTGAATGTGGACTGGTCAGGTTTCTCATCTCTCAGCCTCAACTCTCCACCCCTTTCTCTCAATGCCACTCATATATGCTTTTGATACAAGTACCCCAACATACAGTTCATAGGGAACTGCATGGCCTGACCTATGCATTTACCTTCCATGCTCATGTCCCGAGTCCTGCCTAGTTTTATGTTAAGCTGACACAATTTAAAGTCATCTGGGAGGAGGGAGGATCATTTGAGAATTTGCACACACAAGACTAGGTTGCAGGCAAGCTTGTAGGGCATTTTCTTCATTAGTGACTGATGGAGGAGAGCCCATTCCATTGTGGGTGGTGCCATCCATAGGCTGGTGATCCTGGGTTCTACGAGAAAGTTGGCTGTACAAGCCATGAGGAGCAAACCAGGAAGCGGCATTCCTCTGTGCCGTCTTCAACGGTGCTGCCTCCAGTTTCCTGTACTGAAGGTCACAGACAGGCTAAGAGGAGGATAGGTGAATGCTGCCACAAAGATGCTGGATTCATTATAAAAATGGAGTAGTCTGACATAGCCTCTCCTATATCAAAGTCTCTACTCCCAATATCCCCTGACAACCCAACAGGCCTTTGGTACAGCAATTCTTTATCCTGGTGAAGCTCTGCTATCAAGTGAACTGGAGGATTGACTGTTTGGCTCTGTCTTTATTTCTCTGTCCTCCTGCCCCCCTTGCTTTTAATCTCATGAAGCCTCTGGATGTGCAGTACTCACTGGGGCGACGCTGGAGGCTTTTATCAATAGTAGCGCCTCCTCCTCCTCCTCCTCCTCTTCTTCCTTTTGCTAACTGTGTCTTCATCTGGAGATTTAGGTGGAGCTACGTACAATACATTCAGCACTAGGGAGAGACAGGAAGAGGTTCAGAATAGGGAAGGAGATGTGGAACAAAGCTATGGGACATTGTTGTCTTTCTGTCAAGGATCAAGTTGACCATCCTCGGTGAGTGACTGCTGCCACGTATGCCATCTTCCATGCTATCAGCATTGTTCGGGACAATTTTCTATAGGCTGTTTTAGTGTTTGTTTGTAACTTCTGGATGTCCCCTTTGGGTCTCCCTTCACATCACAAACAAAGCTCTGCTTGCTAACTGTATTGTGCTTAGCATCCCTGCTCACACACTGTTCAGCTCCCATGTTTTCCTCAGCTAGGCAAGAACAAACTTTCACCTCTTTTCCACAAGGAAATATGTGCGTCAGATGATCTGTTAAGACTCAAGTGTGTTTTACTGGGCATGTCCCTAAGTATGTGCCATTGTATACAGTTCCAGTTTGGATTTTGACTGTCACATTAACTTTGTAAAGGATTCAGGTGAGTTCACATTTCAAGGGAAGTGGAAGACAACTGAATACACTTAGGCACAAAACAGGAATGAATCCAGAAAATCAAGTTCAGGTTTGGTCACAAGAGGTGGGCAATACAACCCAGATTGCTGAATCAGGAACAAGGTAGTAGGGCACAGGTTTATGGATGACTGGGCATGAAGTGCTGAGACCATTTCCCTCAGGAAATAGGGAAGAGGGTGGAGAAGGCTCTGGGTAAGGGACAGAAGAGTGGTGAATAATGTGTGCAGTGAAGTGGGCTCTATGTCTATGGACATATTGATTAGAAAGGAGTCCCTGAGTTTATACAAGGCAGAACCAATGGATTAGAAGTAGAGGAATGCAGGGCATGCAGACGTACTTGCAATGAAGACAAACCCTCATCCTACTGCAAGGGCTGCCTAGAAGACACTCGGGGAACATAGTGTCCTTTGACTCACTCTAGATCATCAGAGACAGGTAAGAACTACACTAAGCATGAAGCACATAGAAGTCCCAGATAGCTCAGAGGACAGAGCACACAGGCAGATGTGGCAAGGTGATCTGATGAGAGGGTAGGAAAGTGAGGTTCAGACATAGAGAGGACAAGCTAGAGAACACACGGGAGAAAATACAAATGGCCATGTAGTGTGGAACTATTAAGCTTCACAAAATAGGGATGTCCAATGTTATTTTATTGAGGGAGAAATTACTTATGTGAGAAGCCAAGAAAGTTGAGAACCAAAAGTGGGCGTGCTGCTCTCTGGAAAGCAACCAGAACCCAAAGAGAGAATGCATCTCCTCCCCCCTAGCTCTTTTGTCTCCTGTAGGTTCTATGTACCTGAGACCACACCCAAATGGGGGCGTGGTCAGTGCTAAGGGTATGCAGATCTTTCCCTACAGCCCTGCACCTTAAATCCTAGGATTTAAATGTGTACCCATTATGAATGGGGAATATCTGAAAATGAGGCCATAGCTGGACTAGAGAGTACCAGACCCATCCTCAAGTATTAGGTCAGAAGCTCCAAGACAGGTGTCAATGTGTCCTTTGACTCATTTGGCTTCAAGTAAGTGAGCAGCACAGGCTGGAAATGAGTTCATATACATCCTTCCCTCTGTTCTCATCCCCAATGACATCTTGCCCACATGACAGAGTAGGCCCAGAATGCAATGCAGTTACCTACCAGGAAAGAGCGTACTTGAAAATTTCCGCAGCTCCCAGTCCTGTACCTCAGAAGCATCTGGAAGAAAGTAAACAGAGTGACTTATTCATTTCTGCCTATAGAAGACACAGCCACATTAGCTCACATCAGATCAGCCTTAGTTTTCCATTGGTTCCCTGATTCTTACAGAAGGTGCTGCAGTAAGGCCAGACAACTCACTCTGCCACCCCCCCCCCCACAGAGTTCCCTTTGTGGAAAGAACTGAATAGAAACATGGAGGTATAGCTCCAAGCCCTGCAGGGCCAGCCAGAAGAGGATTTGCTTCTTCTGCAATATAGGGTCCACACTACTAGTCCCTTGTACTCAGGTTCTTGACATTGACTATAGAGAGTTGTGCTCTACTGTCAGTTCCTCCTGTCACAACTCACCAATCAAAAGTGATCATCAGATGAACTCCCCTTTCCAGAATACCTCACAGTACACACAATTTCCAAGGAGAGCTACTAATTACAACCAAAGGCTAGGAGTATTGGCAGTGACAGAGGCAAGAAGGATGCGTGTTCTGCTAAAGACCATATTTTTATTTTTAACTTCATTTAATCTGTATTGCCTGCATATGAATGCCTATATATTACCGGCATGCAGTGCCAGCCAAGACAAGAAGAGGGCATAACATACCCTGGAACTGAGTTACACATGATTGTGAACAACCATATGGGTTCTGGGACTCAAATCCAGTCCTCTGGTATTGGAGTCAGTGCTCTTAATCAGAGTCATCTCTCCCACTTCCCAGCTTATTTTTAATTGACAGTGGGGTTTGGTGTGCTTTGCTTCTACCCCTCTTTACCATTATGCCTAGAAGAAGAAATATACAAATCTCCATCGCACCAATACATTTTAAAATGCCTCAGCCTGCAAAGCAGAAGGTCAAACCTGACTGTTTCCTGGGTCCTCTACTATGTATTCCAACTGGGCATCTGTTACTTACCAGGAAAACTCTCTTTGCTATCAAGCTTTTGCTGCTCTTCTACATCTGTATCTCCCACCTGGGCAATATCTACAAGAACATCAGGACAAAGTATATCAGGTGAAGCCACACAGACTCACACAAAATTGACTCTAGTTCTTCTTGGGAGTTTCCATGGAGGCTCTATTGCAGAATCATTTTCTCCCATTTAACCTTTAACCCTCCTTCCCAATAAGAACCCAGAGTCAGGCTTCTCAGGAATTAAACACTAAGAATTTCCTGAACAAAGGAGGGTCTCAGGTACTTACTACTGCCTTCCATGGTAGAAGTAAGCTGCAATTATAAAAATGAAAGCATTGTTAGGATCAGGCTATTTTGTATGCTTTACAATAGTCTGGCTTTTGCTGGGTGACTTAGGGAAGATCGGCCATATAGCTCCACTGGTGCTGCAAAGGACACTGGTAGAGATGAAGGAGCCTTTCCTGCACTGTACTTTCCAAGTCTGTTGACACTGCAAGCACACAGTCCTTAAGAGAATAGGGAAAACCATCTCCGAGGAAACTGCTTCTGTGATTCAGTGTTAATGGATATGGTGACGCCAATGACATCAGAGAGCTGGAGACCCACTAGCCGAAAACCCCTGAGCTCCACAAAGGAAACTGTCTTTCAAAGAACAATACACACAGAACCGAAATAGAGCTGTATTTCTACAGAAGACATACAGAGTTGTTCTTACCGTAGGTTTAGACTCTGGAACATGTAAACCACTAGGAAAATCTAGGAGAAAACAGAGTAACTGTAAGGATGCTGGCTGCTAATGATCAGAAAACACTCAGGGAAGTGTCAATGTGCACAGGAGTGTATGGAGATAGCTGGGGCTGCTGCTGGGCCATCCTCCAGTGTAGGAGGAGGTTCAAGAAAAAACAAAACAAAACAAAACAAAATGAGACCTGGGATTCTTGTTCCTTCATTAAAGCCACTTTACCCAATAGAAAATAAATCCAGCTGATCCATACTTTGTGGCATATACTTATAATACCAGCACTCAGGAGTTCAAGATCAGCTTCAAATATATAGTGAGATAGAGGCTAGTCTGGGACAAATGTGTCCTGTATTAAAAAAATACATGAAAGCAGCATAATTTCTAACTGTATTCCATTTTTGTTTGTTTTG